GCTGCTTCCAGCTCTCTCACATGGGAGAGGAGCCACTTCTCCACAAAGGTCAGATCAGGAACCTCTCACTTTCCCAAGAGCTGCTCTTCGGCCTTTCTGCCGCTAAGAAGATCTGGATCAGTCCCAGTTACACACCCAGCGGAAGACTGAGGAGGAGAGACACAGCAGTGATGGAGGAGCCATTCGCCGTAGGAAATAAAGACCCCAGGAAAGTGATGCCTCTTCTGACCACAGACTTAACATTCAAAAAGGAATTCCACTGCTGGAAAGCAGAAAAAAACACGAGACAGTTCTCAGACTTACCTGTTGCCTCAGTGAAGAAATAAACACCTGCCGACAGAAGTCAGATCCTCTTTATGCAAAATATAAACCACAGCTTCCTTTGTAAGAGTCCGAAGGTTTGGTTGCCCTCTGTATCCAAAGGCGTGTGGCACCTCTCGGAGAGGAGTAGGAAGTGTTGACGAGGCGTCCTCTCACCTGCTGCAGCACGAGCGCCGGCTCTGTCTGGCCCCTCGACCTCGACTCCGTCTCCTTCGCGCTCAGGCTGCTCAGGCTGCTCAGGCTGCGGTTTCTCGAGGAAAAAGCTCTTAACTTGCTGACGAGTAAAATCGACTTCCTTTCTCAGCTAATCAGACACTTTGTGAATCTTTTGATGCGGCTATGGCGACACTCAAGCCTTTTTTTTTCTTAAAAAAAATCAATCAGAATCAGAGGAATGATTTGATAACCTGCAAACATGGCACAGAGGACTGGGGGAGACTGGAGTCTTAATGTGGACACATGGAGTGCTTTTCAAGAAGGGCATTGTAGTGTACCCCTCTTCCCAGGCTGCTCTGCGATTCTACACAAAGGGGGGAAAAGTGGATCATGTGCTTTATACGTGAGAAGGCTTTCTTATTCAAGCCAGCCTGTGGGGAGCGTAACCACGGGAAACATGCTCCTTCACTGAGCTCCCCAGCAGTTAACCTGCTCCTCTGGCTGGATCGGTAGAAAAAGAAGTAAATACCAAACCACAGATTCCCAAGATGTTTGCGAT